ACTATTTTTGTACTAGTGTAATAAATAATATTAATATTGGTTTAAAAAAATAGTCTTATAAAATAGTGTTTAAAGAAAATAATAGTATAAATTATTTCAATCACACATTTTAACCGTAATATTCAAGTGTATCTCATTTTCATTAGTTTATTATTTTTAACATTTATTGAAATACGTTGGTAAATGTATACATTTACCGGTAGATATATAGCGCTGATTTTGTATTGATGCTTCTACAATTTATTTGTGACAAGAAGTCAAAGAAAAATAAATAACAAAATAAAATATGATATTTAAGGAACAATATCAGGATCATTTGAAAGTTAGATACAAATTAATCTTTTTGCTAATAAATATTAATATAATTATAATAGATTTATTGAAAATATTATTAATATTTCATTAGTATATAACAATGATAAATGTCCATCAGCATTTTCCAAAACAGTAGCCTATGTGAATAATAACATCCTGAACGAAAATCGTTCCGAAAGATACGTGTTTTCTGAGTTTTAAGGCGATTGCAATTCGAAATATTCTTAAGTGGGTTAAGAGCACTTCTCAGTCGTTTTCCCTTTTTTATATTTAAGGCGCCACATGAACCGGAACAATTTGATACATTTCATACATGTCGTTACTCCACATTACATGGAGATTGCACAATGCTTAGTGTAGGTACAAGATTTTTACTCTGCTTCCAAACGCTCACACAAATTTTATCTCATAAATCTACATCAGTATATAAAAAAAACTGAGACTCAATTTAACCCATTGTTAGTTAGAAAGGGATACCTGTGAATATTGGTAGAAAAATGCATGAAACAGTATCCAAATTTGCGCAACACGTGCTAATAACCGCAAATTATCGATATCCAAGTGAGCATTAATAAATATCGCGTATCGCTCTCCGAGTGCATGAAACTGTATATGGACTATGTGCAATAAGGAAATGCTGTTGTGGGATTTCGATCGTGAAAAAAACATATTTATAAAAGATTGGACTGGACATGCAAATCAACAAGAAACAATTGTTGGGCGACAATCGAGGATTTAAGTAAAAGGTCTCGTCGCAAGGTCTTCGCGAACCTTCCGTGGAGTTTTTATTTCTTCATTTCTGTACTTTAACATCAGGTTGATCTGACATTGAAATTGCATTGTGTGTAAGACGATTAGCGATTCCATTTCTGTTTCGGTTTCTTAACGCACGCGATGACAATGAACTACTTACGAAGACTCAAAATTCAGTGAAATTAATTGCCGCCGGTCGCATTATATGTATGCATGGCGTCCTTTACGAAGCACGGAGCAAAACATAAGCCGCTTTTACGCAATGTACATCTTACTAAATAGCTGAAATTTTGGATTATGATGGATGTAAACTTATGTACACAATGTAATTATTGTGTTTCTGTATTTATATGGACACGTAAATGGAAAACAAGAACAAAATACATTATCTTGCGTATGGAAATTTATTTTTTTTTATACAGAACATCAAATCTGGTAACATAAATATACAATTACATAAGGTACAATTATGAAAGATTTATACAATTTACTATTTAATTTAAATATTAATTATGAATTCCTCCGAAATTATTTCACGCAAGAATTGTTGTTTGATTCAATTTTTTTAGATTATTATAATAAATAGTCAATTCCGCATAATTGAGACATCGGTTAATCGGGGCAGCCGTTCATTAGGGACAAATCCTAAAGAACGGAATAACAGAAATTTTCTCCGTTTTTGGGACAATATTCCTCGTGTGTGAATCCCAGTAGCGCCCATATAATGTTTGTGGAACTTCGGATAATTGGACCAGCCGCTTAATCGGGATAAAATGTACTTGTCCCTATTAAGGGGGATCGTGCTGTATTTTATAACGTCAATAAATGAAATCAGAATTTAAATAAAGATAAATTTAGAAACATTATAACACATTATTGATCGTTGTTCTTTTCACCAGTATATAATTTAGACAATTTTCTTATTTAGCAATAAAAATAGAATAAAATGTTTAAAATAAGTAGTTCTATATTTATATACTACATTATTATGTAATTAAGGACATGTCGACGACATCTACAATGTGAGTGGATATCATATAAAATACAGGATGAACAAATCATTATGAATCCAAATTCTGATGCAACAATATGACATAACGTCTCACAACAACAAAAATCAGATCACATGTATAATGTACAAGTAAACGCATGTATCAAAAACAATAATACAGATTACGTTATGCAAGGAAACAAATAAAGTTAATAAAAATAAATGCGCGAATGTTGCAAAGAGTCGCAGCCGTGTTTTCACGTATATTTATGTGAGCAAATTGCATAATGCAGATGTGAAACAAACTGGACGAATTATATCGACAGAAATTAAAGTACGCGCAGATGACTAGTTGATTTTCTCTTCCATGTACGGAATACAAAATGCTGCAATTGTTTTTATATTTTGTTTGGCTTTTTTTTTTGTTTTTGTTTGTTTTTGGTACGGAAAGTGTACCAAAAGTGTTCCAATTATACCTAAATATTTATATTTTTTATGTCGAACGCATAACAATCGGATTTACGTAAGTTTGCGACGAATTTACGGAATGAAGGATCGAATAAAATCATGCAATTACTTGCTTACATAATAGTACTGATTCAATTGCAGCAATGAAAATATATTTAAAATTTATCATTATTTTAAATAAATACCAAATTCATAGAAAATATTACAAAACTACTTTATACTATTAAATAATATGAAGATATACTAACGCAGATTCCATCAGTGTGGATTCATTAAAGTACGTTTTAAAAATTTATAAATTATTTTTTTTTATTAAGAAAACTAAAAATAAATTCTCAAAAATAATTATGTCTCTTTTTGTGGTGTTTATTTTTATGTGGTCCTCGATTAATACGGTTTCAAACAGTGTGGGATAGTGGTTGCACCAATTACCCGCATTATGCGAGGTTTTTCTGGTTAAAACAAATTAATTATACATTTTGTTTATGATAATTAATATAAAACTGTAATTACATTAATTATAAATTAATTTTGGAAATGCTTACTTTTTCCTTATTTATCTATCCGGCTATAGTAGATATATGTTCCGAAAGTAAACAAACCTGTTTAAAACAGGCCGATTATCATGATCCAAATGTTATTTGACTTAATTTATTTGTATAATGTAGCTTTTTTGTAACACGTTTTGCACAAACGTGTTCTGCATGCACTATTTGCAATGACTCACAAATAAAACTATGTCCTGTTCGCGCATAAGTGAATTTATTTATATATTCCTAGCTAAACATAAATTGGTAATATATTGAAATCAAAATTGTTGTTTGCTCACAATGAAAATGTTGCAAACAAAACACCTTTCAAAAATAAAATACTTTTTGTACTTGCTTTTATTTTATTTTAATGTATATATATTTTTTTCTATATAAATATAATGTTATAAATTTAATCATTTTAATTAGAATTTTTTAATTGGATCTTTATATGTAAAGTGTGTAGTTAGATAATATAATTATATATAGTTGAATCTAAATTAGTAATAAACGTAATTTATTATATATATTTTTGTAAATAGTAAGGGTCGGCAACCTTTTTGGATCAAAGAGTCATATTCTTATTATAAAAAGTCTCAATTTATTATTATATAGTCCCATGCGACACAGGGAGCCGCATTTGCCCACCCATGATATATTCATAGTTATACAACGCTGTAATATTTAACGTTAATGTCTATCAACGTTACGATGTCATCCATCAAAGTCATGATGAGGTCCGTCAATGTCAAGATGATGTTAAGTCACAGACAACGATTAACATTACGATGAAACTAGGTTATGTCAAGATGTCGTCCATTAGATAACAATATATACTAATAAATTAAAATATGACAGAAATTGACAAAAATGAATTTTTGAAAAATTTGACAATTCTGAGGAAGAGGAAACGCTAGAAATGCTATTATTAATTGCAACACGAAATTGAACATAGATAATTTAAAAAATATACTAATCCTATAATTATTTTACAATTATTTATAAATATCTCATGATACATATATGAAACAATCGTGCAGGTAACATATATTGTCAGGATATACGATAGATCTTTTCAAGGACATAGTAAAAGATTTATAAACAAACTTACACCAATTAAACGATAACCTTGGCTGCAAAGAACTTAGATTTTCTTTCAAGACATTTAAAAACATTACAATTATTGACCAAAATCATAAGATAATTTTATGACTAAAGTTATATAATATTTTTTTGGATTTTGTATTAATATATCAATAGATGTTACTTTTATATTCAAGATATTTTCTGAGAAACAATATCAATATTGATAAATTTTTTTTTTACTTAAATTATATTTGGAGGGTTTGGTCTATAATTAAACATCATAAGACTATTTTTAAGAATCTTATGAAATGTGTAATAACCTTAAAACATATTATATTAGGTTTTCTATTAATGCAAATATCAATAGAAAGTAAGACCTCGAATAGAAAATTCTCAATTAACGCTGATTCGATATAACGTTGTCTACTCGAAACCGAAAAAGCTCTAATTTTACCTATTTACTATATATCATGGGTAACCGAAGCGTCTTAAGTATTCCTAGTTGCCGCCCTATCTGATATGTACACATATCTGATGATGTATTTTAAATTTAAACTTATTTTTGACCTTAAATTACTAGTTTTCTTATGATCACTTAACAAATATGATGTTGGTAGCCGCCGCCTGTAATTTAAAAAACAGGTCGCCCGTAGTGATCAAAACTTTGGCCACCCTGCTATATATTAATGTGTCTTACTATATTGTTACAATAAATTTATAATAATTAATTACTATGCTATGTACTCACCATTGTAATATATAAATATTAAATTAAATTATTTGTATATTAAAATAATGCACGATAAGTTATTTTAAAAATAAATTTTATTCAACCAAATATGGCCAAAAAATGGCCAAATATTCATTATATTATACATATATCGAGACATACTGGCAAAGTAACTGATATAGCACCTAGTAATGTCCAATAAATAAATTAACTGTAAGTTTGCTGAAGATTCCATTACCCATGTCGAAGCGTCTTCAAAATCCCTTTACCAATGATGGAACGAATGTGCCGAAACCAAAGGCACTCCATGAAGTCCATGCAGTGGAGCGATAATTGGGGCGCTGTGTATAATTGGAGCAGCAGCAATCACCGGAGCCGCATGGTACGCCAACAATGGTTTACTATGGATGTCCACTCTTGTGCTGTAGCTGGTAGCCAGAGGAAAAGCAATTGGGGAGTGAAGATACCCGGGCCTTGCGGAAACCGCAGCCACCAATGCGAAAATAACCACCAACTTGAACATCTTCAATAAAAGTAATTTCTGTTTCTCTAGGTCTGTACTGGATGAGACCGATCTGGAAACTATGATCTGATCTTCACTTGCATTTCCTATTTATACTGCACAAGGCACAAAGCGACATTGATGGAATAAAAGTGTACTGTAACTGTATATTGCGGATGCAATAACCTTAAGGATCACGCATTCGATTACTATTATTTTTCTTCTTTTTCTGCCTAGTTAGTTATTTTTTTTGTACTTTCTAGCTTCGATTGTAAGGAAGAGACGTTGATGTATCGGGCCACTGTTGCGTACGCAATCAATTTAATCAGAGAATTCCAATGCAAACGTTTCTGTTCACTCTTCGCTCTTTTTTTCCTATTAGTACGAAGAATATATTATCAATCGGGTATTAAAACGCACGTATTTCCATTTGATTTCTGCAAAATATTTTTCTGGAATGCTAAACGTGTTCATAAATTGTAAAATAAATGAAATAAATATAAAGTAATTATGCAAAAACTATTAAATGTTCTTCGTATGAAAGTCTTAATTTTATTTATTTTTTTAATTAAATCTATACATAATAATGTTTGAATTAGACTTGGATTAATGTACATCAGTCAAGGTTTGTATGCCCAACATATTAGAGAATATTTGTTTTTTTTCTGTATTATTTATAAAAATATGTGTTTTATTTTAATTCGAAAATTAATTCAAATAGTTACGACTGCAATTTAATTAAAAAAGTGAAATATTTAATCACAAATGTAATGAGGTGTTATTAGTTTTATGAAATACAATCATACCTTGATTAATAAATTTACTTTACAAAGCGAAACTTCGTTTACAGAGGTAAAAAAATAATATTACCACTATGAAGATACGTTTGTTTGTAAAGAAAATTAAATATAGATATTTGTTTGATCAAAGAAAAGTTTTATTAAATATGCAGTCAATTTACATACAAAATGAAATCATATTGTAAAATATAAGTCTAAATTTGATTGCTTTTACTTTTTTTTCTTTTAATTAATAAAACGTTTTCGGAATAATGTATTCAATACATTTCTAACATCCTCTTTGCCGACATTTTCTAAATCTAATGATTGAGCCAGGCCAAATGTCGGCAACCCGCGGCTCTTTTCATGAGAAATTGTCGGTTATTATGAGAAGTTGCAGCTCCAGCTACTGCATTGATGGCGAATATTTAGTTTTGTTTTAATACATCTTATGTCTATATTTTCCTTTAACTCTTTAAGGGGGCTAGAAGTTCCTAAATTTCCAACAATTTTTTATAGAACTTAATCAGACAACTTCGTCAACTGAATCAACATCGGATGGTATGAACTATAAAAATTCATGTCTTGACGCACCAACCAAACTAAATGGTAATTCCTCTTTCCTGTACAATTTTAGAAAATTACCCTACTAGGCATGTTCAAAAGGTGATACATTGCGAACCATCGCTCCTCAAACAGTTAAATTCATATATCAAAGCTATTATCACAGGTAACGGCAACCTAGGTATGATAGCACATGTTTACATTTATAGGTTTACTGTCATTTTACTATTAATTCATTCATTTGATAAAAAATTATATAAGACAATTTACAAAAAAAATCTGTAATATAAATAAAATATACCCATTTTTCAATTATATATAAATACATAAGTTTTTAGTTTGAATCATACAGTTATTAAAATATTTTACAATTTTACTCTATCTGTGTTATTCTTGTTTTGGAAATATAAAAAAAAATATATGAATTCATGCAACTTCTTCATTAATAATTTTATAATAATAATCAGCAGTTAATGGCGAGATAAAATTTAACATAAATTGTAAAATACTAAAATCAATGTGCACAAAAAAGACTTTTATTATAATAAAATATGAATAGTATATAGAAATTATCTACAATTAAACATTGGTTCGATCTTGGTCTTTCTTATTTTATACTTTAGAACAATTAATAATAAACATAAATTAATATTGGAAAGTAATTTAATGGTTCGTATAAGATTATCACTAAATCACTTTCAAATATTTGCATTGTTTATTAATTTTAAATAAATTTTCAATAATATAATACTGTTGAATTACACAAACCAATATAACCATTTATTAAATTTCTATATTTAGTTACTTTATGATCTAAATTGCGCTTTCCGCTCGAACGCTTCGGGCAACTTATTAACATTTACTATACGAAATGCGAACAAAATGTTATTTGTTTTAGCAATTAACGAATTGTTGTTATTAAGCTTTGTCATTTTTTTTTAATACAATTTCCTCTTTCATATAGGAATTAGAACGTGAAGAAATATTTCCCAATCTTAAGGTCGAACGTATATGTACATAATGTAAAGAAACATACGTATATTAATCCTTATTACGTTCGACTTCCTACAGGTAGAAGAAAAAATGTAAATAATATATCCAATGTCACGCATTTCTAATGTACCCATATGATGCTTTACTTGCACATAACATCTCGAGTAACGAAGGAAACAACAACTTAAAGAAAGATTGGTAAGATTTTTTGTATATTTAATTAAATTTGTAATTAAATTATAAATGTGTAATATTATGAAATTTATTATTGTAATAAATTATAATTTCCTGTTATTAATTTGATGATAAATTTAAGATAAATCAGTGATTAAATATCTTTTTAAACGTCAATAGATTTTAAATATAATTATTTTGAAATGTTTTAAAATTATGTTATGTTTTGTAGTCTTTCGGTGCTTTACGACTTTAAAATTATTATTGTAACATATTTTTAAACATTGTTTTTTTAATAATGTGACAATTGGTAAAGCAATTGTAGCAAGTGGAAAATTTATTTCGAAAAAATTATATAATAGGTTTTGTGTCAAGGCTGTGGAACGATAGAAATTCGCTATCGAATCGATTGGATTTGAGAGATAATACAATTAAGTTTAATGTTCGTCCCCTCTTCTATTTAAGAAGTCGACAATGATAAATACATTGAACGCCGTAAGTGGAACGGAATAAAATTAACAATTGGTTGCGTACTTTCGTTCATTTAAATATTCGCAATTGAAACATTACAGAATTGCAACAAACCTGTGAATTATATAATATGCAGTGACGAGCTGCTCAATGTATTCGTCTGACTGCACTGAAATGACCAGACCAGATTTTAAATTGTTTATAAACGGTTGCAATAAATATCGATCAACGTACAGTTGACTTTCATGCATTTATTAAGCAATGATTGTACATATTGAGAAATTTGAATGTGTGAGAGAACAAGAAAAAATCAAGTTTCACTTTTGGTTGTACTGCAATATTGATTACATTTTCTATCAAATGACTAAAACAAAATAAGTTGATTTTGTATTTTATAATTAAATTTTAATCAAATTAAACAAAACATATTTAGATATTCAATTAATACAAAATTTAAAGTTATCATAAAGAAATGACATTGATAAAAACTGTTAAAAAAATGATGTAATTTTGTTGTTCAAATCATAATATAATTACAATAATTTAAAAATATTGAACTAGACAAACCAGTTATTAAATTTTTATATTTACTTACGTTTATATTGATGATTTTTGGTATTATTATTTTTTTATTTTTATTACTAATCTTGAAGGAAACATACGATTTTAATGCTTTCTTCAAGAAAAGATATACTTAAAAATTATGTACAGAAAATTGTATAAATAAATGATCAATTTTCTTTTTTATTCCTCGATTAGTTCGGTTTAGTAGGAGAAAGCGATTACCCGGACTATGCAAAGTGCTGCTTTACGCTGAATAAGTTTTAACAATTCTATTTTTTCCAAAACATTTATGTCTGATGAAACAAAATTTTTCAACAAAACCAAAACTTTTCACAAAAGTTTCCCGTTTATTTTTTTCAATTTATTTATAATTGTATTTTTATTTTTAAAGAAGTATTTAATCAACATCTTAGTTAAATGTTAATAAAGATAATTTAATCAAAAGAAACCATAACTTTTTGTCATTACTTTCAATGTTGTAACTAACTATGCTAAAAAATCATTAGGAATAAATACAAAGACATGAAAGATGTTAGTTTTTTTTTTCAAAAACACTTCTACGGCGTTAAGTGTTTTGTAAAGATTATAATAAAAATTTGTATCCAAAATTTGCGTGTATTATCCGATTCAAAATCAAATTATGACTTGCATTAATATAGGCAAGTCATACTTTGATTTTGAATCTTATAATTTGTGAAAGTATTATTACCAAATAATATTCCATGTAATTGGTTATTATAGTTTCATAGTACGAGCAATTGTAATTTTGTAAAAGGCAATTATTATATAACAATTATTTTTCAAATGATAATTTTAATTGTCCATTCGAAGTTGTAGTAACAACGTTTACATCAGATTTGTAACGTTATATCGCATAAATAAAAATACTAATTTTAGCGTAAATGCATAAATAACTGATGTTATTTATTCCTGTTAATTAATAAAGTATACGTATATACGGTCGTAAATTTCAAACCTTGTTATGAATGTATACAATTCCAATTAAACAAAAAAAACAGCGAAGATTTACGCATCAGGATTTTTTTTACAAACTCGTACACGAATCGAATGAAATGTATGCAAATTGGCTTCGCGAATCACGCGAACGTTTTGCAAATAACAGCACGAGCCGAAAGGAATTTCAATGAATTATTTCTTTCGCACTGAATTATAACATCGACTCGCATACAGCAATTCACCCATACGAACGTTACCATTAATTAAAATGTTGAATCAATGCTAAATCATTTCACCATTCAATAAATTATATCTAATAAATTATCATAAAGAGTCTAATTAATTATATAATCTTATATTCTAATTAAATGATGGCTGTGTGAGAATAATAAACAACAAATTGTAAATCAATGATACAGTTTATTTACAAAAAAAATCAATGCGTCTTTTTATGTTTATAAATAAGTGTGATGTGTTTTGTGTGAGGTGTTTATATTATTTGGATATTTTGTTTTTTTTTTGAGGTAGTGGAATCACCAGTAATGGCCGCCTAATCCATGTCCTGCTAAGGCTAATCCATGTCCACCCAAACCTAATCCTCCATGTCCACCTAAAGCTAATCCTCCGTGTCCTCCTAACGCAAGTCCACCTAATCCTAAACCATGGCCTCCTAAACCGTAAGTTACAATTGGAGCAGCGTGCACTTCGACCCTGAAAGAAACAAAAAGTTGAAACAATGCTGAGTGAATATAAATGATATTTAAAACGGTTGCTCCAAGATTCCATACGAGTGAAGCAACTGTGTGTTTTATGATTTTCAAAGCAATGCAAATTGTATTTTTGGAATATTGACAAACTGCTGTGAAGGCATTGAAATTCCTGAATTTTTAAGAGACTTCTTGTTTGTTTCTAATATTTTAGTAAAATAATGCCCTTCCATTGTCCAAGCAACTTTATTTCTATTATCTAGAATTTATAACAACATTCTTTCTTATCTTCATAAACAAATTTAGTACTTTTTATAGTTTAAAAGAAAATTATTAATTTATTACTATTATGTGTTTAAATTAGTAGATTAATCAATAATTTGTATAAATATATAGTAATATGTTAATAATTAGTCAACTTTATAAATGTCAATAAAATATGTAAAATTGAAATTTTCATTATCCTTAATAAAATTAGTTGAATTTTCTAATATTATTATGAATATTAAAATACAAAAAATACTCTTAGTAATATTTAACATTTCAATCTTATTGAATTTATAATTTATTATAATTCATTATTTATTATTTTATTTGATTGGTATGAAAATATATGTATTATTAAGAAAAAGACATTGAGTGGACAATTGTAGTGCTAAAAGTAAACATGTTTCGAAATAATTGCAAATTTTTGTATAGTATACTACGTTTAGTAAATCAAGTTGAATATTTTTTTTGATGTAAGAATCTTGCGGCTAAATTTAACAAATATATTATTAACTTTTGCGAATTGTATTATTTTGATTTCCGCCTTATGCCGTCTCACAAATCACTTAAAATAATGTTTTTTTTAAGTCCAGTTCAATAAAAAAATTACAGTTAACTTTTCGTAATGATTAAAGATGTGGTTTTGTATATCAATACAGAGATATAAAGTAATTAAAGGAAATAAATGCGATGTTTGTATTTACCAATTAAAACCACTCTTTGTTTCGATTTGTTAACATTCGGATTTAATATGATTAAAGACTTAGTTTAGTTGATTTTGATTTTGATTTGAATTATTTTGTATGTGTTGTATATTAAATTATATGAAATTGTTTGAAAAGTAGGTAAACATTTTAACGTTCTAAAATGTCTAAAATGAAATAAGAAAATAATGTACAAACGCTATAAACTAAAGAATACAAATAACCCTCAGTATATCAGAAGAGCACACAACATTACTTAAATATATAAGTAAATATGTATAATGTAATAGACAAATACATAAATCATTCAATAATAAAAATCATCATTAAATCAAAAAAGGTTTAGGTTTATATCAATATTCTGATATTGTATGAAGTAAAATTAATTAAAGTGTGAAATTATAATAAATAGTTTATATCAGATTATGTTGTTTATGTTTTACCTGGATGCATGAGAAACAGCAGCTGGAACAATGATTGGTGCAGCAACGACGGTCTTGATGATAGGAGCAGAAACAGTAAGGATAGGTTTACTATGAATATCGATTCTTGAGGTATGGCTTGTAGCCAAAGGTACGGCAATGGGGGCGGCGTGCAGGTAACCTGGGGCGGCAGCAACGCAGGCTACGACAGCAGCAACGATAAAGACCTTAGCAAACATATTTGTTAATTATTCAAAACAAACTGATCTCGTGCAGACAATGCGAGGTGTTTATATACAAGATGTATTGCCCAAGACCACCACTATCCATACGCCTGCTATCCAGATTTTTCGTGTGAAATGGGAAAAATTTAATAACGGTCACGCATTGTTGATCGCAGTTTCGTCAGGTATGTGGAACGAGCAATTACTCGACTAGAGCACATATACTTCAGTAGATAAACATTTTCCGTAAATAAATTGAATCTGGATCGAATAATTGCGGACCGTTTTGCGACACCGTCGATTGCGAAATCTTCGTGGCGTCGATTGTCTTTTAATTGCCCTATTGTTTTCAGGTTCGTTTCTTCCTCTATGAGCAGAAACAAATGGTTGACAAATAGATTCGCAAAGTAGATATGATAGAGCCATGAGTGTGACTGTTATTACGGCAACTAGGATTTCTTGAATGCAAAACAAATGCAATTATAGTTATTTACATTAAACAATGTTATTAAGAGAAGTAAAGAATGTTCAATTACTTATTGTTACTATTGCTTTAAATATATAAAAATATCGATCAAACCAAATAAAGAATAAAATTTGGATAATCTCAGTTTTCTAATATCTGTAATTAAAGATAGACTTGTAATAATTTCAGTAATAAATGTAAAATTTTGTTTAATATCACAAATAATCAAAAGTTAAGTTTAATTTAGTTTTTTATTTATTAATTTATTTTTTATTCCAAAAGTCGTTTAATAATATAATCCTGTGTAAGCTACTGGAGCAGCGTATGCGGCGTTGGCAATTGGAGCGGTGTAAGCAGCGGCAACAACTGGAGCAGAGTAAGCGGCGAATACTGGTTTGTTAACGAAATCGGTTCTAGATTGGTGGCTGACGGCGGTAGGGATGGCAGCAGCTGCGGTGTAAGCTACTGGAGCAGCAGCAACGGTTTTAACAACTGGAGCAGTGTAAGCTATTGAAGAAGTGTAATCAACTGGAGCAGCAGCAACAGTATTTACAACTGGAGCAGTGTACGCAGCGACAACTGGAGCAACAACAGGCTTGCTTACGATGTCGGTTCTCGATTGATGACTCACAGCAGTTGGAATACTGTAAGCACTGTGAAGAACTCCAGCATTGGCAATTGCCAAGAAAGCAGACAATACTATGAATTTGAACATCTTGTTTAGATCTGTGTTTTGCTTACTTCGAATTTTGAAGCTAACTGATGTTTTGTGTTGGCAAACTTCGAATTTATATACTGATGTAGTGAGTGTAATCTTTGAAGGTCGTTTGTTGTCCAGTTTATATTTTTATATTCATGACATAGTCCCTCTTACTAAATCACACAAATATGTTCTGAATTAAATTATATACCAATATTTAGGTAAGATTATTCGATTGTATTTGAGCACATATGAACTAAATTAAAAAATATAATAAAGATATTATTTATTTTATCTTTATATTTTGAAGATAAATGACAAAGAGTTATTTTATATTTCATTAATCTCTCAGAAAATTAACATCAGATTAATTTAGAAAATGTTGTATTGAAATAATTGAAATATTGCTGATGTACATATGCTTGTGAGCCACAATACATCACTTTAGAACAACTAGAATAATAGTAAATTACTTTTTTTGTAACCAAGGCAATAAATTATTAGTGAATAAGTTTTTTAATATAAAAATATTTTTTTTTCCTCTTAGAGATTTTTGGTATAAATTGTTAATGTTATATTATAATTATCTGCAATAAGACCATCATTCATCACATATGGGCAGTCAAATGTATGAGGTTCGGCATATGGACCTTCACCCAAGTCGATGGACAATGACAGTGTTAAGTATAGCAGCAGATTCACAGTCAAAGGAAATATTGGAATCGCAGAGCATCAATATACCTACAGTTAACCTACAAGACAACAGCCAACCAACAAATTAAAAAATCAAATCATCATAATGGTAACTATCCGCCTGGAAAGATTATTCATTTAGTGTCAACCGCGATTTTAAATTTACTCAATGTTGACATTGAAAAAAAATATATTGTTATTTTAATAATAACATTTTATACTAATATTTTGAGAAATATTTCTTATTAAAAACAAATTATAATAAAAATATTGTATTCAATGAACAAAGGTTTTTTTAATATTAAAGCTTGGATGAAATAATTATAATGATATTCAAAATATATTTTTATTTATTTTTGTATTTATGCAACAATTGGTCATTTAATAATATAATCCGGTGTATGCTGCTGGAGCGGCAAAGGCGGCGTTGGTAATTGGTGCGGTGTAAGCGGCGGCAACAACTGGAGCAGAGTAAGCGGCAAAGACAGGTTTATTGACGAAATCAGTCCTAGATTGATGGCTGACGGCTGTTGGGATGGCAGCAGCTGCGGTGTAGGCTACTGGAGCAACTGCAACGGTTTTAACAACTGGAGAAGTATATGCTACTGGAGAGGTGTATGCCACTGAGTTTACAACTGGGGCAGTGTATGCAGCAACAACTGGAGCCACAACAGGTTTACTGATAATGTCAGTCCTCGATTGATGACTAACAGCAGTTGGAATGCTGTAAGCAGCACTGTGAAGAACTCCAGCATTGGCAATGGCCAAGAAAGCAGAGAATACTACGAATTTGAACATCTTATTTAGATTTATGTTTTGCTTACTTTGAGTTTTGAATCTAACTGATATTTTATGTTGTTAAACTTCGAATTTATATACCGATATAGTGAGTGTAACCTTTCGAGGTCGTTTATTGTCGAATTTCTATTTAGTATGCACTACATGTTCGTCTTACTAAATCGCATAAATATGTTCTGAATTAAATTTTATATTCATATTTGGATAAAAACCTGTGCAATTAATTAAACAAAATATTTTAATTATGTAATGAAATGTTTTATAAAAACTATTTAAAATTAATAAACACCTTCATTGGTCGCAATTATAATCAAAGAACTATCGACCGAAATGTCTGTAACCAAATAATATAAAAATACTTAATTGTCTCGTTGCGTACTAAGATGAGGTATTAAAAATACTTGATTATTATTAAGTTTAAAAATAATGAATAATTAGTAATCATTGTAATTAACTTTGATGATCATAAACAAAAAAAAATAATTGTCTCTTGAAAAGTTTAATAACAACATATATTAAACAGACAGATAAAAAAATATAAAATAATTATTGCTTAAATGTTATATATTTAAGTAATACATAAGGTTTATATGTGACGTAAAGTATATTTTCATAAATCTAAAAATTCTATCTAATTTTCTGGAGGTATGTATTAAATCATTGAGAGTAAATAAACAATAAATTATAAAAACAATTATATTTTATAATTAATAATGTTTTTCTTAATTTTTTTAACAAAAAGAATATTTAATAGGATAAATCCAAAGATTAAAAAAAAATATTTTAAAAAAAATTGTGCTAGTTTGTTCTTGTTAAATTTTAGATATTTTAGTATAATATAATGTTTATATATTTGCATATGACGTAAAATATATTATCATAAAAGTAATACTTATATCTAATCGTCTGGGGATAAATATTAGATAATGAAAAGTAAGAAACAATAAATAGAAGAAGCTGTTTATAGTAGAGTTATGTAACATTAAAGTTTCAAAGTAATTTTATTAATTGATAAAATCAAATATATTTTCCAATTAAGAAAATAATGTTTTTTTTTTTAAATATTTTTAACAAGAAAAGGAAAATCAAAATAATTAAAAAAAAATAATTTGAAATAAAATGTGGAAAAAGGCCAGTTTTTTCATGTACTAAAAATTAAACAATTCCAAAGTCATTTTCATGTGATATCTTTATTTTTTCCAATTAAGTAACAAATAGTTGTTTAGTAATATAATCCGGTGTAAGCGACTGGAGCGGCGTAGGCAGCGTTGGCTACTTGGGCGGTGTAAGCTACTGGAGCGGTGTAAGGAGAAGCAACAACTGGAGCAGTGTAAGCGGCAACAACAGGTTTGCTGACGAAATCAGTTCTCGATTGGTGGCTAACGGCAGTTGGGATTGCGGCACCTGCTGTGTAAGCTACTGGAGCTACGGTTTTAACAACTGGAGCAGCGTAAGCTACCGGAGAGGTGTAAGCCACTGGAGCAGCAGCAACAATTGGAGCTGTGTAAGCAACGGGGGCTACTACAGGTTTGCTAACAACATCTGTTCTCGACTGATGACTAACAGCAGTAGGAATGCTGTAAGCAGCGCCATGAAGAACTCTAGCACTGGCAACAGCCAAGAAAGCTGACAATACTAATAATTTGAACATGTTGTTTGTTTAGATCTTCTTCAGGGTTTGAAGCTAACTGATATATTCCACTTAGTAAACATCGAATTTATATAGTGGGTTTGCGAATGCGACCTTTATAGGTCGTCTGTTGTCCAATTCATTTTTTGGTGTGGACGTCACGTTCCGCCTTACCCAATCAATGAAATTTGTCCAGCATGTATAATACCGCGAATTTGTTTTTACACTATTTCAATTTTGGAAGCAGAATAATAAGATAATTGTTGCAATAATCCCCCAACTTACGAACTAGTTCTGTTCCAAAGGGTTGTTCGTAAGTCGAATTTGTTTGGGGTAATTGTAAAATTTTCAAAATATACTTATTTTACCACACTTTATCATGGTTTTTACTTTTATATATGTTAAATATTGCTGACTGCATAAATTTTAAAGAAATAGATTAAAATAAACAAAATACTTACTTATAAATACGTTTCAATGTAGACATCACAATTATTTAATAAAAAACGATTAAAGAAAGAAATGCAATTAAACAGATACTACATCTTCCAAAAATATTATATTTTATTAAAGAAATTAACAATTTTTGTTTGGACAGTTAATTTTTTTATCACTAAATATCTCCTTGTAACTTGTAAACAAAGCTTTTAGAATTTTGTTTCTAAATTCGGGAGTTCGTAAGTCCAGGAATACCTGTACATGTTTACAATAAAATAATAAAACAAACAAACTCAATAAAAAAATGTTGCAATTGACCATAGGTCATATATATTTGTTATACATCATTATTAAAAGGAAATATTTTAAAAATATGTCGTATATAGCAGCGTTTCTCAACGTATGGGTCACCAACCAAAATTAAATTACTTTCATTTTTTTATGGATCAGAAAAAGACAGCTATCAGCATATGTCAAAGTAAAGAACTCGTGATTTTTTTTTGTAATTTGCTTGCAGTAAAACTTCAAACAATTTTGTTGGAAAGCGTAGTAAAAAGGTTGAGCAACTTAAGAATATAATATGTATTCAGCAGAATGTAACTGTAATTAAAACAAACCTCAGAACTAATTTTATTTATATTTTTAACATGTGTGCATGTTTAAAACAATAGATCGTTAAAACATTAATTGCATTAAATAAGTATTTTCCAAATATTTTCTACAGTTTATTAATATTTTCTTCTATAATTTGATATCAACATTAATTTAAGCGTCTAATCATAGTGATTTAAAAACATTACTGTTTTTCATTACTAATAGTTTAGTAGTGATTATGTTTATCAGCTTGTATATAAAGTATCAAAATAATAATAAAATGTATAAAGTGTAGTTCCAAATTTAATTTTAATAATTATATTATTAATTCCTATGTGTAGAAAAATACTTCAATTCAAATATTAAATGTTTGAATCATAATAAACAATAATAATTACATTAAATGTTTATAGATAATCAAAAAAATAGATGTATATTTAATAGTTTTATTTTCGTTATCAGTTCATTATATACAAAATCGACATTTCTCAATAGTGGGAGTAAGCCAATTTGTTGGCATATCCGAATCCAGTGTAAGCAACTGGTGAAGCGGCGTAATTGTAGGCAACTGGAACGTTGTAAGCGGCGGTGGCAATTGGGGCAGTATAAGCAGCGGCAACAACTGGAGAAGTGTAAGCGGCTACGACTGGTTTGCTGTGCACGTCGGTTCTCGATTGGTGGCTTACTGCAGTTGGGATGCCGGCAGCGGCGGTGTAAGCTACAGGAGCAGTTGCGACGGTCTTAACAACTGGAGCAGTGTAAGCTAATGGTGCGGTGTAAGCAACTGGAGCTGCAGAGATGCTCATCACAACTGGAGTAGAGTAAGCAGCATAAGTGTTGTAAGCCAAAGGAGAAGTGTACGCTAATGGAGCAGTAGGGACAGTCTTTACAACTGGAGCCGTGTAAGCAGCAGCAACGACTGGAGCAGCCGAGTAAGCCACAACAGGTTTGCTGTGAACGTCGGTCCTAGATTGATGGCTTACGGCTGTTGGAACGGTGTAAGCGGCACCATGGAAGACTCCAGCGCTGGCAACGGCCAAAAGAGCAGACAACACCACCAATTTGAACATCTTGTTTTAGGTCTGTGTTGTGTTTACGTCTACTAAATAGTGACTGATGCATTTGAATTAGTGGAACTCGAATTTATACTGCATATTCTGTGAATGGTATTTGACCTTAGAGATCGGTTGTTGTCCAATTTGCTTTTTCTGTATTCACCGAATGCAGTGCTCTTTCTCAATCGATTAAAAGTGGCTCACATTTATTTTATATATTACATAAAAAATATTGTTTATAACTATTAATGAATAAAAGCTTTTGGATTGTTAACCTATCCCTAGTTTCTTTTTTGTTTTAATTTACTTACATTTTTATTTAGTATTGCCGTTTAATGTTATATCACCAATATTAATTATTATTTTTAAGAATATAAAAATATGAAATTCATATAAATATTAATTCAAAAACAATGCACCATTACAGAATTTTGTACTAAATTACAATATACTAATATTTCATCAAAATAATATCAACTGAAATCAGGATTGTCAAATAGACTTCCTTCTTAGATTACAATAAGATTTTAATTATATAGAGATTATATAGACAGAAATGCTATAGACGTTAGCGTTTTGTCACAAATTAGAACCAATAAAGATTTGTAAATAAAATAAATGAGATTATAATGAAATAATATTCCACATAGGTTAAATTTACTTGAAGTTTATAGAATTTGTTGCTTTATTTTTATTTACCTTTTCGTTAATATTGGTTTCGAATTTGTATTCTTATATTTAGAGTTGTTTTCATTTTTATGATTTTTTTGTTGTGTGTGTTATTCTGGTCAATAAATCATAATAATAATAATAATTATTAAAATATTGTAGAAAACAACATTTATTATTTTTAAAATATATCGAGTAATTTGTATTTTTAAAATATATTAGCAACCTTCAATAATAATAGTTCGTCCTCTATTGTAACTGGGTTAAAATTTGCAGTCAGAACACGTTTCATAGGTGTTAAGTAACGACTATGAATTACATTTTGTCTAAAAACTAAATCTTCATTATTTAAATTTCTGTCAGTTTTAAACATCGGGCTGTTTACTACAATATATTATAATTACGTTAAACTCAACACACATGTTGATATATAGTATATTTTATATGTATGGTGGAAGCGCCGGGTTTTCATTTCTTATTAAACAAGTGATAAATTGGTTATGTGATAAGCTGAAATAGTAGAAACTACTAACAATTAATTAGTATGGGAAAATTTCCGGTTCCCATATATAGGATCAGGGTTTCCCAAACTATGTTCCGTGAAACACTGGTGTCGCGCGAATGGGAACAAGATAAAGAAGGAATTCAGTACACGCTGTTTGTAATAAAAATGCTGGTGTTCGATTATGAATGTTTATTGAGATTAGTACGATTTATTTATGCTGCTTATAACTTATAGCGGCAATTTCAAATAAAAATTAAATATATCTTTAGAATAAAATTCTTGTATTATTTATATGTTTGAAACTAGCTTTGATTCCCAGGACACGAGACAACTGTAACAACAACCAGAAAAAATATCTTTTCTAAGAAATAGTTGATTATTGTCAAATCTAGATTAAAGTGGATCCAGTATTACTCGTGAAGAAGTGCAATGAATGAATACTAAATTCAAACAACCCAAACTATTTGTATTACGTCATTCTTTTTTACACCAATACAAAATATATTAGTCAGATCAGAAGATTTTTATAATTATATTTAAATAAAGATGACCAAAAAAAATCGAAGATGATTAATATAATCAAAGTAAATTTCTCGAATCTCAAACCATAATATTTTTCCAAATCGGGAAATTTCTCAAGAGAATTCCCGTTTCAGCAACACTTGCCCTATAGTGCTTGCACTCCTTCAAAATGTGTAAAACTGTTAGCAGGATATCACACGTCTCACAACTTGGAATGTCAACGATTGTCATACCAAATAGGTATGTCAGCCTCGTATGACCGATCTTTAGCCGAACCTGTGCAACCTGTTCTCTTCTTTTTAAGGTTAACGAACACCTCCAGAGAGATACTGATGTCTTCATCTGCCTGAGCCCTGTATCCAGTAGAATACATTCAAATTGCTACTCAGAAATAACCCTTAGGGACACAGACACTCTGATACGTCCGTGTTTTTAATATATAATATAATTATAAATCTGAAAATATATTATCTGTAATGAACTTAATATTATCTGTAATACATTATCTACGGTGTTATACGGTTACGGTTTATAATTGTAAATAGAGTAGAGTTATTATATCTTTATATCTCATGAATAGAAGTTATGGTGAATAACTAACTGAGGAAAACTTCTTACAAAACGTATATAGTGATACTACTACAAAAGGAAATACATCAGGAGGTAGAATAAATCAAAGTTGTCTTTCGTATTTTTTTTTTATTGACATTAAAGTAATCAGTTCAAATAATTCATTTTCGAGATCGACGTTGCTTAATAGTGGGCATAAGCCAACTTTCCGGCGTATCCGGTGTAAGCGACTGGAGATGCAGCATATTTGTAAGCTACTGGTGCGGCGTAAGCAGCGGTGGCAATTGGAGTGGTGTAAGCGGCAGTAACAACCGGGGTGGAGTATGCAGCTACGACTGGTTTGCTATGAACATCGGTCCTGGATTGATAGCTTACGGCGGTTGGGATAGTGGCAGCAGCGGTGTAAGCTACTGGAGCAGCAGCAATAGTTTTAACAACCGGAGCGGAGTAAGCAGCATAAGTGTTATAAGCCAGAGGAGCGGTGTAAGCTACTGGAGCAGCGACTACAGTCTGCACGACTGGAGCAGTGTAAGCAGCAACGACTGGAGCAGCTACAACTGGTTTGCTGAAGACATCGGTTCTGGATTGATGGCTTACGGCAGTTGGAACGGTGTAAGCGGCACCATGGAAAACACCAGCGCTGGCAACGGCCAAAAGAGCAGACAACACCACCAATTTGAACATCTTGTTTTAGGTCTGTATTGTGTTTACGTCGGCTTCTAAAGCTGACTGATGATAGTTTGAAATTGGTCCCCGAATTTATACTGTTCACATTGTGAACACAGCAACGACCTTCTGAAGTCACATTTCTTTAACGCAACTATTTTTGCTTAACTTTTACTTTATAGAACAAACGTATTAACTTCATTCATATGGTTTTAATATGCATTTATAACTTTTATGTAATTGCATTAATTTTCAAGTTCTTAATTATACTTCCATTATTTCATTTTTTATATATTTTAAATAAAAAACAAGTTGATATATTTTTGTTGTAATATGCAAATAGCTTTAAGTGTTAAAATAATAAATGCTATATATTTTCCTACATTAGTGACTTATTTAAATATTTAATGTGTTAATCTTCTTCTTTGGTATTTGTATCTTCTTCCTTGGTCATCCATATACATTTTTAACGTATTTTGAATCGTATATTAAAATGCAAAAATATGCAAATTATATTTTAGAAATAGTTTAGGTATTCGTATCAGATTTACGTATCAAATTAGATAATTTATCTAATGCGAGAAACATATTAATTGTTTATATTTATTATAGTAAAATATCATCTATGTTTTGGACATGAAGGTTACTAATAAAATATGATTTGTCGAGGTTAAAATAATCTGATTCGTATTGAATTGAGTATAGAAATCAATATTGTTATGATGTCCAAATAAATATGGTATAAAAAAACATTTATCGAAATTACTATAAAATTACATAATTAGTTAAGGAATCAAACAAACTTAAATTAAATATATGAATTGTTGTAATTTATTTTTGTTATAAATATTATAAAGGAATAAAATAATGATTACATTAATGCGAAAAAGATACGAAAAAATGGAAAATAAAGAGCAATAAGCTAATACAAAATTGATGATTTTCAATAACAAAATCGAAAGAAATAACATCATCCAAAATCATACATAATCAGAGTATCTTAGGATAATTATGTATGAAAACTAAAGAAGAACAATTAATTACTAACAAAAATAATATATTTTTTAGATTTTGACTATAATCTTTTCGAACTTAACATATAGATTTACCATAAAATCTATAATTAAGTTAATATTAACTATATGTTCATTGATTTCTTAAAAAAATTTAAAATTACACGTATTAGGGATTACAGAAGGTGAGAGCAATAAAATGCCATAGTCTCTTTTTAAAAATTTATTTTTTGTACAGATAAATTAATCAGTTCATTTTATTGATTTAGAAGTAGACGTTGCTCAATAATGGGAGTAGGCCAGCTTTCCGGCGTATCCGTATCCGGTGTATGCGACTGGAGATGCAGCGTATTTGTAAGCTACTGGAGCGGCATAAGCAGCGGTGGCAATTGGAGCGGTGTAAGCGGCTGCTACAACTGGGGTGGAGTAAGCAGCTACGACTGGTTTGCTGTGCACATCAGTTCTGGATTGATAGCTGACGGCGGTTGGGATGGTGGCAGCAGCGGTGTAAGCTACTGGAGCAGCAGCAACGGTCTTAACAACTGGAGCGGAGTAAGCAGCATAAGTGTTGTAAGCCAAAGGAGCGGTGTAAGCTACTGGAGCAGCGGCAACGGTCTTGACAACTGGAGCAGTGTAAGCAGCAACGACTGGAGCAGCAGAGTAAGCTACAACTGGTTTGCTGAAGACATCGGTCCTGGATTGGTGACTTAA